TGCAAGGTGGCAGCTCCCTGATTCCCCCAGACTCAAGTAGTCTTCTTGCACATCAAGCAGTGAGAGTAGGATTTTAAGACCCACATGACTATAACAGGACAGTTCTGAATACTGAGTCTTAATGTTTGTCTAAAACAGGACTAAACATCAAACAAGCAACATAAAACTGACTTTATTGGATATCTCAGTGGTTGGACAAGATAAACATCCCTGAAATTTGAAGGCTCAAACTCTCAGTCATGTCAAAATGTTTTAGACATTTTATATACACACAGCTAGTTCTGCCCTTCAACGAAGAATTCAACAGTTGCTATCTGGAAGTAACACGTGGAACATCTGGCCAAATTTCACTGGCCAGACCAAGTCACAGGGCAAAGAAATACCATGCACTATCTGCCCTCAGGCCCCAGAGAAGGACAGCAAGTGGTTTAGAACAGCAATATGTACAAATCTATCGAGAAGCCACTATATATTGGCTCGGCACCCGTAGCACAATGGTTACAGCGCCAACCACATATACCAAGGCTGGCGGTTTCAAACCCAACCCAGGCCAGCTAAAACAACAATGACAACTGCAATAAAAAATAGCCAGTGCTGTGGCGGGCACCTGTAGTCCCAGCTACTTGGGAGGCTGAGGCAAGAGAATCGCTTAAGCCCAAGAATTGGAGGTTGCTATGACCTGTGACGCCACAGCACTCTACCAAGGGTGACATAGTGAGACTCTCTCCAAAAAAAGAAAAGAAGCCACTATATAGGCAGAGGAGAACTAAGCAATGCAGACTGGACCAGGGTGAGGAGGGTCACTACAAGGAAACCCCCGCTACTACAGAACACCGGCCAGGCCTGAGTTTCCCGGAGGAACCAACAGTCCCTTTTTGTAACAGCCATATTTGGCTCACACAATAGCAGAAAAGGCAGAGCCAAAGAAGAAAGAGTGAAGATGTGCCCACTGCGCGGGCTCTGGGATACAGAATGAAGGAGAATCCAGGACCTGAGTAGCCCTGCTCCTAGCAATGGAAGGCAACTAAAGAAATGGAGGAATGATACACTATGTCACTACAGATGTCCCTGGCTCCAACTCTACAAATTCTGCCCTCAAGTACTTAATAGAGTACTAAATGAAAAGACTGAACTCCCTACTTAACTGCATATACAAAAGTTAATTCATGATGGATTGCACAACTAAATGTGCAAAGTGAAACAATAAAACCTCTGGAAAAAA